CATTGCTGTGCCTAAGTAGCATCTTATGAGGTTTTGAGATACAGCAGTAACACAAAGTGAAAGCTCGGTGAGTTTTCTTTATAACTACTGCGGGAACATTGTACGGAGCCCCTAAAGGGACATGGTGGTGGAAAAAAATCAGATTGAGTGAAAAACTTTGGGGTGGGAGGAAAAAATATTTGTCAGATTTTTTGCGTTCGCTCGCAAAACTTTTGCGTTCTCTAGCAAAGATATTTGCGTTTCCTCGCAAAACGCAAATATCTTTTGTGAGAGAACGCAAAAGATCTTTGCGAGAGAACGCAAAAGGGAACGCAAATATCTTTGCTAGAGAACGCAAAAGTTTCTCGAGGGAACGCAAAAGTTTTGCGATAGAATGCAAAAAAAAAATTCCTCCCACCCCGAATTTTTTTTCCACCACCATGTCCCTTTAGGGGCTCCGTAACATTGCATTTATTATGCATAACTTTTTTTCATGGCCGTAAGTAGATAACATTTTGTACTAGCTAAGCATCCTGAAAGGCAGAGATATCTCTTAGTGTTTCTGTATCTCCGATCACAACTGACTGGAAAAGGGCCACCTTTAAACAGATCAGCTCCAGTCCTCAGTGGAGATCTTGGACTAGTCAATAACTGGATTTCCTGATGTCTTGACTCGGGGAACATGTCAGGAACAATGTCAGTAATGGTTTCCCTCCATTAGATCTGACTTAAACATGCTCAGCTCTGAAGCTGACGTTAGACTTTGAGCTTGATTTATAGATGGTGTCTGATAAAGATGTCTGATTCAGAGGGCTCTGTCTCTGATGTTGAACTCTGATCGTAATAAACAAGGGAAAAGAGGCAAACCTAAACACTGAGGTCATATTTTCACTAAGAACGACTTCTCTTGTGAAATTGAAAGCAGACACCGTTTCATTCCAACCATTTCAGTTCAGTTCCAGTAAGTCCACATGCTCGTCATGTGGCTAGAGTGCGGTCTTGTCAGCTACAAAAGACACTAGTATGAAAAAATGAGCCCTTTTCTGGAAACAGAAACATTCCTGAGCCGCCTGGAGCAAGTCATAGCGACGGCCTCCTGCGGGAACTTCAGCATGATGGCCATGAATGCTAGATTCACACATTCATGCCACTCGCTGGGTTTAAAGGAACAGTTTACCCTGAAATGAAAATGATCATTTACTCTCAGTCAAAATGTCTCCAAACCTGTATAGCTAACTTTCTTCCGTGGAACTCAAAAGCTAGATGTTTAGCACAGTGTTCACGCAAGACAATCAAAGTTAATCTTGTCATGTTTTTCAAATCTTCTGAAGTAGGGCTGTCACGATATTAGATTTTTCACACCACGGTTATTGTGTCCAAAATAATTCACGATATCGATATATCGCGGTATCTATAGAAACCTTGGGGAATAAGCCAAATTAATTTTTACTTTGTTTATTTAGTTTTTCTTTTTACCCAATGAACATAAGGATACTGATAAACAGGGCACATGCATTTTCACTTCTTCTTCTTCTTCTTCTTCTTCTTCAGGTCACAGCTGACCTGAGACTCTGGCTTTCTCGGTCTTCTTTGAAGCTCCCTATGAAATAACAAGAGAAAAAATACTGTCAAGTTCAACAGTATAATGAATAAATATCAACATCAAATCTGATACTTTAACCTGTTAACTTGCGTACCCGTATTTTAATCTCTTTAACTTATAGTTGCGCCGATGCCAATGAAGTCATGCAGCTAACGCGCTTCTAATTCAGTATTAATGTGCACCCAGAACGACCGAAGATGAGGCATTAAGTGCATGGCACTGCGACCAACTTTACATTTTACAGAGTTTAATGTGGTCGCTTTGTTTTTCTAGATCAGTTTTAGTCGTGTAATAGATTTGAACAAAGAAATAAATTGCTACACAAAGGCAGTATTGGCCATTGATTGCAAATACAAATACAAAAATTAGACGAGTAAAGAAAACGCGGTACTTATTAAAAGAATCACCCTTTTATTTAAATATATGAAAACAGGAAACCGCTGTTAACAGGTTAATGTAATATTTTCCCATTCAATGACTAGTAAAATAATGGCAACTTACTGTCTGGATAATATTGAACATGGTTCTTCTGAGATATATTCATCTGCAGACCCCCAGCATGGATACTATTGGTTCTTCTTGGAGTAGTGCGGCCGCGCGCGTCTTCTTGTGTGACAGGTGTCAGTGTTAAAGCACAATACTGCTACCTGGGAGGTCAACCAGGTACTGGCGCTGGAGTAGGCTATTTGCGTGTCGTGTTATTGTAAGTGTCCTGTTCATTTTAAATATCATGGTTATCGCCAAT